CGCCACGCTTCTCCCCGCCCCTCGCATGCCACGTGGGCTGTGGTCCGGTGGGGCGGAGCGAGGCTGTGGGCTCGGTCTGGGAGCGTGGGGGTGGTTGCTTATCTGCGATCGCCGTGGAGTTGCGCGGACGTGGTGGCGCCCGGCGGCGCAGCCCGGCTTGAGCTTCTGAGGGCCCTCTGATTTGCTCATAACGTTAGAGATTATCTAGTCCTTAAAGATACTGATTGAGAAACTACATTGTAATGAGCACGGGGAAGGCAAAGACCGCGTCATTCAATCTATTTTTCTGTAATCCCTCTGCCTTGTGTCCCGCGCAGTGCCTAGCTCATAGTAAATATTCAGTAAATATGATTGAATTGAAAAGAGGTACTGGATAGAGAGATATAAAGTGTAAAGGAATGATGGGGAGAGTAACCCCTTGATTGTGTAGAGATTAGGATGGCTATTTTTACAAAAGAATAGCAGGCTCAGAGAAGGTAAGTGAACTTGTTCAGGGTCTAGGAAAGCCAAACAATTGGACAGTGTTAGGTAAGCAAAGATCAGATCCTGGAGGGAATTCTGTGCTATGTGAAAAAGAACTTGGCCTTTAATGTGGAGGGGATGGAGAGCCATGAAGGGCCTCATGGAATAGTAACTACTGTTGAAGCTAGACCGGGGAGAGGCAAGGGAATCAATTAAAAGGTTCTTGGTGCTCCTGCAGGAGCACATATACTAAAATTAGAAAGATACAGAGAGTAGCATGGCTTCTGCGCAAGGATGACAGCAAATTCGTGAAGCATTCCATATTTTTAAGGAAAAAATTTTTTGCTTTTTCTTTGTATTGTATCTGTAGGAGGTGATGGATGCTAACTAAACTTGCTGCGGTAATCATTTCACAATATATGTAACTCAGACCATAATGCTGCACATCTTAAACTCATACTGCATAGTGGTGTCTGTCAATTATATCTCAATAAAACTGGGTGGGGTGGGAGAAGGTTCTTGTAGTGAGCCACGTGAGAGATGAAAGTGGCCTGGACAAGCTCTGTTATTTGGGGTGGAGAGGAAGGTGCATTTTTTGATAAGCATTTAGTTAAATTATCTTCTTGATAAAGTGCTCATTTAGAGATGAGATGAGGATGATTTGAGCGAGCAGGTAGATAATGGTGGCTTCAACTGAAATAGGAAAATGAGAGGGGAGGAGGAGGATGTATTTGGGGTAAAAGGATGAGTTTTGTTTTGAATATATTAAGTTTGGTTGGTTGCGGCCAACCACAGTCCCACTGTGTGAAGTGAGGAAAGTTTTTAATGTGCCACAGAATGGACAAGGTCTTTGGGATTGGAAGGTCACTGGAGGGTCAAGTCCTAACTCTGGCAGTTGAGCGATACTGAACATATGTCTATCACGGCATTTACTACGTTGTTTTGAAAATCCTCTTGACTCTATCTGTCTTTTTACCCAGCCCTGTGCTGTCATCACTAACCACGTGTGGCTTTCTTGAAGTGTGGCTAGTCTGAATTGAGATGTGCTAGAGGTGTAAAATACACACTGATTTTGAAGATGTGTTGCCAAACAAAAAAAGACTGTAAAATATCTCATTAACATATACTTATGTTACATGTGGAAGTTGATATTTTGGAGGTGTTGGGTTTAATAAAAATATATTATTAAAATTAATTTCAACTGTTTACTTTTTTAAAAATGTGGTGACTAGAAAATATAAAACTGCATACTTGGCTCACATTGTGCTTTTATTGGACAGCACTGCCCTAGACTTCAGAGCTGTTTGTGGAGGGTGACATCTGTGCCTTATGCATCTTTTTATCCTCAGTGCCCAGAACAGCACTGGGCAGATGGTAGGCACTCAGCAAATATTTATGAATAAATGAATGAAACCCATAAGTGAATGGAATGAATGAATGAAACTCTCAAAGTGATAAGCTCCCTCAGAAGGGTGTTCATTACATTGTATCTTTGACAATGTTTGATGTAAATATGCAAAAGGACTCAGGCTCTCGCTGTTTGTTTTGCTTGATTCGAGCTCCAAGGAACCTCTAATGATCTCTTTGACTCAGGCCTCCCACTGTAAAATGTAACTAGGTGTGAAAGTTGGCAGTTGCGTTTCCTTAGAGAACTGGGAACTGCTGCCAAGGAAAATGAGGTAACGGGTGGTGGGAATAGCAGGGCTTTGAAATCACATGGACTTAGGTTTGAGTTATATTCCACCCCTGACTGTGTAACCTTCTGTTTTCTTAACTTCTCTGGCCCTCAGTTTTCATGGTGAAATGGGGATAAAAATACCTCTTAGGATTGTGTGTGACGGTTAAATGAGATGGCTTGTATTAACTTGCAAACTGCTTGGCATTTAGAGGAATTTCAGTGAATGTATATTCCCCTCCACTCCCCAGCCTGCATACATCCTTACCACTGCAGTTTATCCATTCAGTGAGTCATCAATCAGTGCAGTATTTATGAGTGCCTGCCCTATGTGGGCACTGTGCCAGGAACAGAGTGCAGCAGTGAAACAAAGCAGACAAAAAATCCCTGCCCTTGTGGGGCTAACAGGTTAGTGTGGGAGACAGATAATAAACAGTAAGTAAAATGCATGGTGTGTAAGGTGATGATGGTGCTACGGAGAAAAAGAAAGCAGAGGAGGAGGATAGGAGGGGCCAGGGAGGGCGGGGTGGGGGTTGCAGTGTTCAATACAGTGGTCAGGAAGGCCTCACCAACAAGGTGACAACTGAGTAAAGACTTGAAGGAGAGCCACGTGGAGTTCTAGGGTAGAGGGAGCAGCGGGCAAAGGCCCAGAGGCCAGGAAGTCTGTTGCGTTGGGAGATGAGCAAGGAGCTGGGTGTGGCTGGAGCAGCAGGAGTTAAGGTTGAGAGGAGCTGGGGATGAGGTCAGCAGGGTGTCTGGAGACAGATCCTGTAGGGCCTTGTAAACCACAGTCAAGATGTTGGCTTTTACTGCAGGTGAAATGGGAAGCTAGTGGATTGTACTGAGCAGAGAAGTAACATATCTGACCTAGGTTTTAACAGGATGGTTATCACTCTGGCTGCTGTGTAGAGAAACTGAGAAATGAGTTAGGATAACTACTGTAAAAATATAGGGGAGAAATGTGGGCAATTTGGGTGGTAACAGTGAAAGTAGTAAGAAGTAACCTGGGGTTTCTGGATCCCTAGGGAATCTGTGGATGGGCTCAGGGGTGTCCTTGAACTCCCTGAAATTTTATATAAATATTTGTGTGTAAGTGCATTTTTGGAGGGAGAGCATCTATTGGAGTCTCAAAATAGTTCCATGATCCAAATCAAGAACTATCTTGGTGACGAATAAGCAGGATACCTCCTGCCTGTCTAGTTATTCAAAGTCCCACGATTAAGTCTTTCCCTCAGACCTTGATCCTAAATCCTCCAGCCACTGATGTGTTTGTGAGCCTCTCAGAGCTTCTGCCACTCCCTTTAAGACTGTAGCATCCTTGACTTCCAGTTTAGACTCATTAGGATTGTTAAGAAGAAGAAAAAAAAAATCACAGGGAAATGGGTGGATTCTGTTCAGATTTTATGCTACTCACTATGGAAGCTTGGCAGCCAGAGGCGGGAACAGAGAAAAGACTTCACACCTTCCTAGAGACAGTGCAGGGCACTGGTGAGGCTAGTTTGAGCTCAGTGGATTCCTTTTTTAATAAGTGCTGGTCTTTGAATCACATAAATCTCAGCACCAAGAGCCGATTTTACGGTTTGGTTTGCTTAATAGTCACACAATTAAAATAAGTTGGGGCTGGCCCTGTGGCTTAGCGGTTAAGTGCGTGTGCTCCGTTACTGGTGGCCCGGGTTCGGATCCCGGGCGCGCACCAACGCACTGCTTCTCCAGCCATGCTGAGGCGGCATTCCACATACAGCAACTAGAAGGTTGTGCAGCCATGACATACAACTATCTGCTGGGGCTTTAGGGGAAAAAAAGGAGGAGGATTGGCAATAGATGTTAGCTCAGAGCCAGTCTTCCTCAGCAAAAAGAGGAGGATTAGCACGGCTGTTAGCTCAGGGCTGATCTTCCTCACAAAAAAAATAAATAAAATAAAAATAAAATAAGTTGTAAAAAACGATAGTGGTGTTTGCCAGGATAAATATTTAAAGGGAACAGCTGTAGGAAAATATAATAATTCAAATCAGCTCATGGTTCTTCATTCTCAATAAAGCTGTGGAGATTGGTTCTTAACCAGAGGGGTTTCTTGGCCTCTCCTTTGAATGTCTTTGTACTGCAGCTGCCAGTTTGGGGTAGGATAGAGCTGAGAGGAGCTGAGTCAAATGTGCCTCTGGGAATAGCTGGTCTAGGGCACATAGACAAGGACTTTGGGGGCAGGGTTGAGAAGAGGGTTGAGGTCACAGATAATGGAGTGAGGGAGCCTCAAAGTCTTCCTTGAACTTCTAGGTGGTATTTTCTAGTGTGAAGTCCTGGTGGTCATGCTTTTTAGGAGGCAAGTTAATAATTTTCAAAGGGGAAATTTATTTTATAAAGAGATGAGTCTGTTTGGGAAGCAAACCTAAGTTCTGTCTCCTCCACTGGACTCTGGGCTGGTTGGTAGGCGTCATTGATGACAGTTGGTTTTCTGGCTTTGGTATGGTGGCAGAGGTTGAAGACAGTGTTGAACACTGCCTTCCTCTTTTGTTTCTCATGCCATTTCCTTTATACCAGGAGAGCCCCTACCCCTCCTCTCTCTTTCTCTGGGAGCTTCCACCCAAACCCTCTTACTGAAGCCTTCTAACCATGCAGCCCACTGTGCTCTCCCTCTCTGCCTTCAGCTCCTGTCTTGGTCTTGGTGATTGTAAAGGAAAAAAACTCTTTTGTTTCCATTTACATTACACACAATGCTCTCTGAATACTACTTAACTTCGGACACCAGATGTGGGATTTCCAC